TCATTAACCAGGAGCAAAGGCTCGACTTAAACCTGCAATGCCTTGCCTTTCTTTATCTGAGTATTTGGGACACATTTACTGCTTTTCATCATATTCAAATACTGGGAAAAGTGAATGTAAATTTTCTCCCTGTGCTTTAGTAATTACTATTTGGACAGTAACATTTATCCTTGAAACTTCCCCAAGGGGAGAGAAATGATGCCAATGTTAAGATCTGGTGTGCGGGGATGGCCGCAAGTGTTAGCATCTTTCAGCCAGGCTTTGTTTCTGGTTGTCTGCTTTGTGGAAAGCAGGGAAGCCAAGGTGTTTCTTTTAGAAGTTATGAACTTACGTAACCTCATGTTCAAAACACATGTTTGATAAACTGTAAGCTACAGAGTAATTATAGCATACAGGCGTTCTTTATTTTTATGCCTGCTATTTATCCTTTAATTATAGGGAGTTGGTCATAATTACCATATTTATGAGGAAAATTCATGATTTCTCTGAAAGCTAAGTAAATTTGAGCATTGATTACATTTGGTTTTATGTAAAGAATTAGTCTTCTGTGGAAATTGGTCTGCCTAATTAAATGTCCACTAAATATTCAAGTGACTTTTCTTTATAACCATTTTTGTTATAAAGTCATAAAAATCCTAAATGTATCTCAATAGTACGTTGTTGGGGAGGAGCTGTGGACCGTGTGAACAGCTGGTACTCTGTTTGTAGCATAAACGTTGGTGACTTGAACCCATAGCTGTTTCCGTTAAGATTACAGCCAAGAAGACTTGAGTTAGAATTGATTCAGCTGCCACCGGCATCAACAATAACAATAGCAAATTGTAGGTGCAGTACGTTTCTTCCATGGGACACAGTAAAAGACAGTGAGCTGCTTCTAGTCACAGCTTTTGAAGGTGGATTTTGTATACTTTTGACCTCTAACAACTTCCGATCCTTTGGACCAAGACCCATTTTAAAACAAGGAAAAATAGCAAATAGATAAGCACAAACTGAAAATAAAGCTTGCGGGCAAGAGGCCTTTCCCACATCCAGCGTTTCATTCATTACTATGGGTTTATACTGGAAGGACATCCTTACAACAAAAACAGCGCCCAAAGAAACGAAATCTGCATACTGCCCCACCTCCTGGACTCGCCGTCAGCCCGACCAGTGGTCTGCGTGGTGTGTCAGCAGCATGGGCATGAAACTGCGCAGAAACACAGTCACCTTCGGGATGCTCGTGATTCCAGGTTCTTCTCCCACCTGGTCACCTGCTGAATCACCAACATGATCATATGAAACTGTGCCCTCCACACTTTGCCTCAAGATCTCAGTTGGAAGATTTCCAAACTATTCTTAGAAAGAATTAAGGGATCCTGGATTACTCCACTCACACTCATTTTACGATTATACTTGTATACCCGTTGTGATTGAAGCGTGAAAAAACCAGGACAATAACTCATTTAACATGATTTCCTGACAGAGGAGAGAGAGATTTCAAGAGAAGGAACATATTGTTGACAAAAAGATTAACTTCAAGAAACGTAATTACATTTCTTGTAGATAGCATCTGCTTGCCACTGTCAAGGAAATTAAATAACATGTGTGAAATGAGGGATGAATGACAGCTGGCTCACCTAGAAACAAATGCCTCGTGTGTAGGCCGTGTTTTTCAGCACATTTTAGTGCAGTTTTTATGGTAAAATTAGGTACCTCAGCTGATAATCAGGTC